AAATTGCCACATCTTTTTTTTCTCTCAAACTTTTTTGTCTATTAGGGAATAGTATAAACTATTTTCAGTACGAGTAGCAATATGCAAAAATTCGTCGTTTTCGAGTTATGATTTTTTTTTCTGAAAATACACTTATATGATGCTGGCAGATTTTCGTGCCATTGAGGTCGCAAAAATTGTTGCCTATTATGATAAAGTTTCCTTGCTGGAAATTTTTTGAGGTTGCCCGATCAGAGCGAAAAGTTTTTCCCAATTGGGCTCTAATTTTGGCCCAATTGGGGCCCAACAAATTGTGCGCACTGGTTGGGGAAATGTTCGGTAGATTGGGCAAATCGCTAATTGGGCCCCAATTGGGCCAAAATTAGAGCCCAATCGGGAAAAACTTTTGGCTCTGATCGGGCAACCTCAAAAAATTTCCAGCAAGGAAACTTTATCATAATAGGCAACAATTTTTGCGCCCTCAACTGGCACGAAAATCTGCCAGCATCATATAAGTGCATTTTCAGAAAAAAAATCATAACTCGAAAACGACGAATTTTAGCATATTGCTACTCGTACTGAAAATAGTTTATATTATTCCCTAATAGATTATTATTATTAATAAACAATTACTGATGTTTAGTTCACTAGATCGGTTTAGTAGATCAATATCTGCAACTTAAAAAAAATCATTAAAATCCTTGCTTTTTTGCGGCAGTTATAAACGATTTCATCGAAAGTTGCTATTAAGAGAGGAAAAGTAAGCGTTCGTACTCAAAAAGAAAAAAAATCATTATTCGAAAAATTCGCATTTCTGAGCAAAAACAAAAAAATACGTCTCTCCTTAAATTGTTCAAGGAACAATCCCTGTGAGTTTTATCGCAAACTTAAATTCACTTTTCCCCGGCCTGGGTGATTTGAGATGGAATGAGCCCTATGTTGAGGATTGTTGTTGTGAATTTAAAATCAAATTGCGATATACATAAATACATGTGCACAATTTTCTCTGTCCGTTTTATAGTTGATCCTCTTGTCATTAGGGGTGTGGATTATGTGGAACATTTCCAAAATAAAGCGTTTATTATATTTCTTCTCTTCTCGAAGAATGGCAACATTATCAAAATTGGGATAGTGTCCCGTATTCCCACAGTGAGCAGACAAGGCCGTCTTATTGTCCGTTGGGTTGTTCCTTAACCTAATATTTCTTTGTGTGCGGAAATCCTTGTCTTGAGTTTAGTTTTTGTTGTCCCCACATATACTTATTATTATATTGTACCATAAGTCGGACCCGTCGCCATTGCATGAAATTTTATATATTACGTCGATTTCTCGTGCCTGGCAATAATGTCTTTGGTGTTGATATAAATTTTCTTTAGTGTATTGCTGTATGTGAACGCTATTTGGATCTTTCCTTTGTCATATATGTTGGAATGTTTGATCCTCTCCGACATACCCGGAACATAATATGTAGTGGATTTATATATTTTGTTCTCATTATTGGACTTCTCTGAAGTGGTCCTGGTGTAAAAGTTTTCAATAAGCTTCCTAATCATGTACGGAGGGGAATCGTTTTTTCCAGAATTTTTCGGATAATATTTTTGTTTTTCTATGAAAAACGGTATCGCTGATAGACTTTTCTTATGAAATTGGTAGCAGTATTTAAAATTGTTTTCTTCTCATGTTTTGAGTTGTAATTAATTTATCCTCCCTGACGACGTAGGTTTGGCATACCAGTCAATAATTAATTTTCTGTTCTTCCTGATTACTAGGGTGTCCAAATAGGGTAGTTGTCCATCTATTTCTATTGTAAATTGTATCGTCTTGTGGTAATTATTTAATAGAGTAAGCATCTTGTCTTTATCTTCTGTTTTGATTACGACAAACAAATCATCAACATATTTCGTTAGAAGATGCGGTTTATTTTTAGGATCCCCCACAAATTTGCTTAGTAAATCCTCCATTAGGATATCTGCTATGACTGGTGATGCCTGTGACCCCATAGACATTCCCGACCGTTGTTCATATATTTTGTCATTATATTTGAAGTAGCGGTTTTCTTTTATACAAAATTTCACTATTCTTAAGAATAGCTCCTTTGGTAAATATGTATATGAGACATTCTTTTTCATATCGGACACCAAATTCGGTGTCACACTTTCGATTGGCTTCACATTTTTTTATGGGTTCTATAAATGAAATAAGCTAACACGTGTTCGAGGATTTTTTTTCGCTTTTTTCTTTGGAGATATCTGTCAAAGTTTGCATTTTTTCCTGACTCTGACTAATCATTTACTCCTTCAAATCGTTATATCTCGGGTTCTGCCCATCTAGAGACTTCATCTTAACGTTGTTTTAAAGCTAAAGAATCGGGCGTAATATTCCTGTATATAAGATGGTCAAGATTGTCCTAAAGCTAACTTAGCTATTAACAGTTGAACTTTTTGAAGTTGATTGCATAGTGAAGACCAGTAAATTAGGGGTTTAGAATTACACCATCGTAATCCTTGTTTAATTCTCTATAAAAAACGTGGTTCAAAAAAATGGGGGTTTGTCAAGAACTATTTTTAAAATATTTTTCTTTATGGCGAGCTGGTTTATTTTGTGAGAATCAACAATTTTTTGTAATTTGTTTTCCAAAACTTATGTTGAGATATATTTAGTAATTTGTTAAACATAGTGTTTTTGCAAGAATTTGAATTTTATTGCAGATTCCGATAGAATACCTATCCAGAAATAATATTTGTACGGCAAGATTTTTCTTTAAGGCGACAAACCCCTAAATATGGGCGTGGCGATTGTAGGAATAAAGTTTTATTGCGGATTTCGGCAGAATATCGCTTTGTTAACAACATTTGTTCCACAACTTTTTCAGTCAAAGAATATTCTAGAAATGGACCTGGCTGTATTAAAACCAAAGTTCAATAATTTAGACTTTATTCTGGATTCCGCCAGAATATCTATATGGATTGAAAAAGTTGTGGAACAAATATTGGTATCGAAGCGATATTCGGCCCAAATCCGCAATAAAATCTGCGGTTTGCCAATTTTAGTCCTGCAATTGCCACGGCCATTTCAAGGGGTTTGTCGCCTTAAAGCAAAATCTTGCCACACAAATATTATATCTGGATAGGTATTCTATCGGAATCCGCAATAAAAATTTACTTTTTGCAAAAAACGATGTTTAATACCTTACCAAATAAGTTTTGGAAAACAAATTACAAAAAATTGTTGATTCTCACAAAATAAAACATCTCGTCATAAAGAAAAATATTTTAAAAATAGTTCTTGAAAAACCCCCATTTTTTTTAACCACGTTTTTTTTATAGAGAATTAAACAAGGATTGCGATGGTATAATTTTAAATCCCTAAGTTACTGCTCTTCACTATTCAAATCAAGTTCAAAAAGTTCAACTGTTAGTAGCTAAGTTAGCTTTAGGACAATCTTGACCATCTTATATATAACAAGTAAGAAAGTCTAAAACTATGTTCACATTACCAACATAAAATACTTAGTTTCGTTTAAAAAACCGCACTAAATTAAGTGCGTTCATACACGCGATTCTTTATTTGTCTTGACAGCTTTGTAGCAACCCTGTGTTATTGTTTATTTAACCAAAAGAGATCGCGAATGTGAGTAATTGCGTATATTTTTATATTCTGAGTTATTTGTGGTAATTTTTTAGATTTTAGATGAGTGATCNGCGAATGTGATTAATTGCGTATATTTTTATATTCTGAGTTGTTTGTGGTAATTTTTTAGATTTTAGATGAGTGATCAAAAGAGAAAGCTTCTGGAAATATTAGCCTTTAAAAAGCAGTTGAACGCATTGCCAATATTTCAAAATGCATCCACTAGCAGAAAGTATTTCCATCTATTGCAGAAGCGGCGTTCTACTTACTATTATTAAAAAGATGTTTTTGTTGAGGAAACAATATTTTTTGTTGTTGTCGTCTGCACAATACCTTTCTAAGCAATCCCGATTATATTGGACAAAAGTTAGTATGCTTGTGCACCTCTATACTAAGGTTTATTAAATATTTTTCATTTTCAAAGGAACGTTCCCAAACGTTTTGGGAAGTAGACTGTCAACTGAATGGTGACGATTTCTTTAAGAGCAATTTTAGAATGAAGAGAAGTACGTTCCTTGAGCTGTGTGGATATTTAAGAGTGTTGGAAAAAGAGGATACCCCTTTACGTAAGGCTATCACTTTACACAAACGGGTAGCCATTGCTTTGTATGCATTGGGATCATCGGCAGAATATCGCACCATAGGAAACACGTTTGGAGTTGGAAAGTCCACTGTATGTGGAATAGTTAAGGAGTTTTGTTTTCAGACTTGGAAGGTTTTAAGTCCAATTTTCATGCCAACTTTTCCATTAACGAGACAATAAATTGCCGAATTAGTCCAGGGATTCGAAATGATTGGCTTTCCTCCGTGCATGGGAGCAATTGGTGGGATAAATCTACGTTCTTGTACCAATGTATGTGTCAATAACTTTTTAATTAAACCTTGCAGACGGTTGTCATATTGAGATTCATCCTCCTAGACAAGATGCCACGGACTATCATAATTACAAAGGGTGGTATTCCACCATCCTACTCGCGTTAGTTGATGCAAGGTACGACCATTTATTTTAGTTATGAGGACGATGCATCATATACATACATATGAATTTTTAGATACCGATTTGTTTATATCAATGTTGGTAGTCCAGGACGGTGTAACTATTCCCAAATTTTTGAGTCATCAGTGCTGAAGGCACAATTAGAACAGTGTTCTCACCTTCACGAAATGAGTAGAACTAGTTCAGATGTTGATGTGCCGGTTTTCATAGTAGGAGACTCAGCTTTTCGTTTCAGCAAAATATTGATGAAGCCTTATGCATTCCAAATAATGCAAAATGAAAGGGAAAAAAGTTTTAACTATACGCTTTCGAAAGTGCGAAGGGTTTTTGAAAATGCCTTTGGTCATCCTAAGGCCCGGTTCCGACGAATAGGCAAAGGTATAGACAATAAAGTCGAAAATACGAATGCTATTATCAAAGCATGCTGTGTTCTGCACAACTTCTTAAACGAAAGAAACGACAACATTAACGAAAAATGGATGTCCGCAGTGCAGGATATGGAAAGGAATCGTCAATATCCACAACAAGAAATGTCTGTCAACGATCGTCAAAATAGTGCAGAAATAATTCGAAATAGTCTAGCTACCTTTTTTTGTAAGTAGAGCTAATTTTAACTGTTATTTTTTTTATAAATACTTTATTTATTAATTCAGTCTATTGTTACACAATAGTACTTCAGTATATTAAAATAATAAAAAAAAAACCCAATTCAACTCATTGTAAAAACAAAACCTCACTACAAGTAAGTGTATCAACATAAGTATAGTTTAACTACAATATGTAGCCAATGAATTACGAACGGATCTCGGATGTTAATATTAAAAAGTTTATCAGTTTTTTTTTTAATTTTTTAATATAAATACAGCAAACTTAATAACATAGACCTTATATGTTAATCAAAGCTTCAAACTCTGTTCAAAATTCGTTAATTAACAAAATTCAAAAATATCAAAATCTCAAGCTTTTTAATCAGAATTTCTAGAAAATGTTGGGAAGTTTTTTAGCTCAAGTTCAGTATAAAAAAGTGCACCTTTGAATGAGCTATGCATATCCAAAATCTTTTTGGAAACTCTGATTAAAAAGTTTGAGATTTTGACATTTTTGAATTTTGTTAATTAATGAATTTCGCACAAAGTTTTAACCTTTAATTTATATGGTCTATGTTATTGAATTAACTTTGTTTTCATTGTTAAAAAATATGGTAAACTTGAAAAATAAACATCCGAGTTTCGTTCGCAATTCACTGTCCACATATTGTGTTTACTAGAACAAAAAATTAATTCATTTATATGCAAAAGCAAGTACTCACTTCAACTATTAAAAAAGTAGTATAAATATCAATACTTATTTCTTTTGTAAAAATTCAATGATTGCCTTATTTACTTGTTTGTTATCATTAACGTATTCATCTAAAATTTCAGTTCTTAGCATTTCATTTTCTAAAAATGCTTTACTGGTTTCTCTTAAATCTATATCACTTTCTCTCAAATCGTTACTACATTTTTCCATTTCCTTTTCAATTTTATTTAGTTTTTCTAAAAATTTCTTTTGAAAATTTTTCTTTCCAGATGCACGGGCAGCTGCTGATGTCGACGGTGTTGGGGTGCATCGGAAGGCCAAGTGGGAGAAACATCACATTCATAAAGATCGCCCGATGATGTCTCTATAGATAGTGCCACCATTTCACTATTATCTTTAATTTAAAAAGTACATACATAAGTACATTTGACTACATCACTCCCCATAAAAAAATCGGTGGTTTTTTCCATTGAAATTATAAAATCTATTTTATTTTAAGACTTGTCCCAAAATATTTCGGAAAAATATTAGAATGTACGTGAGCTGGACCGATTTGAAAATACCTCCAAAAAGCGTGTTTTTTGTGAATAAAAACAATTTTGTAAAGTATTTTTTTTGCAAAAAATCACCTCAGATAACAAAACAATTAAAGCTTAAAAAATTTGCAAAGAAATATTTTAAAAAAATTGTTAGAAGGATATTTCCAATAAATCGCAAAGATAATTAATGTTGTTCGCAATACAAAGCTTTTATTTCAAGTGAAGAAATTGAAAATTTTCTGAGATATAAGTTATCAACTTATCAATAGAAAACTATGATCATTTCGACAAGATCAAAGTTTTAATGTAGTTGAGTTGTTTCAATAACATTTCTTACAAACTTCCTCTCAACTCAAATACATTTACATATTAATTATTTAACATTTTACAACATTTACTAGGTTTTTCTCATGTCAGGCTTTTGGTTAACAAATCAGCAACATTTTCTGATGTTGGAACGTATTCAATAAAAATCTCCTTGGCATCGAATTTTTCTCGTACATAATGATACTTGATGTCAATGTGTTTGCTTCGCTTATGTGTTATTGGATTCCTTATTAAAATTCTGCTCCTTGATTATCGCAACGAATTAACGTAGGTTTATTACATAAACTCTGCATACCAATTTCACGCAACAGATTTCTCATAAATATCACCTCCCTTGTACCCTGACACATTGCAATGTATTCAGCCTCCATCGAACTTAGAGATATTGAACTTTGCTTCTTTGCTTCCCATGCCACAGGACCACCAGCCATAAAAATTACATAGCCGCTATATGACTTCCGATCAATTGGATTTGATCCCCAATCAGCATCTGTAAAACATAAGAATTCTTTTTCAGATTTTTGATATTTAATCGTAGCATCTTGTTCTCCTTTAAGATATCGAAGAACATGTTTCGCTGCAATGAAATGATCTTTATGCGGATGCGTATTAAATTGTGATAATTTTGATAATGTATGTGCTAAATCAGGCCTTACTGCCAAATACATTAATCCTCCTATTAGTGATTGATATTTCTTTACATCAACCATATCAGGACAATCCTCCCGTCAACACTTGTCTAAAATTACTCCACTTGCAAACGGTGTTGATGCTGGTTTGCAATCCACCATGCTCCACGTTTTTAGCAAGTCTTGTATATATTTCTTCTGATGTAATAAAATATCTCCACGTCCTACACGTTCAATTTCCATTCCCAAATAATACGATACTGGTCTACGATCTACTGCATCCAATTCCTTATTTAATTCAGTTAAAATGCTCTTCATTGAATCTTCTAGTGAACATGCAGTTAACATGTCATCTACATAAACTGCAATTATGTTCATCTAATTTCCTCTATTCATTACATATAAGCAATTATCTGATTTGCATTTCACGAATCCCATGCGTTCTAAAATTTCATTAAGTGTCCTATTCCATTCACGTCCTGCCTGTTTCAATCCATAAAGCGATTTCTTTAGCTTACAAACTTTACTAGGATATCTTTTATTCGCAAACTTCTCAGGTTGTTTCATGTAAACCTCCTCATTTAAATGTCCATTCAAATATGCAGACGCTATATCAATATGATGTACCAATAAACTGCTAAAGATAATATCATACGTATAGTAGAATGGCGAATAACTGGCGCATATGTGTCAAAATAATCAATACTATACTTTTGACTACATCCTCTTGCTACCAAACGAGCCTTAAATTTCTCTATGCTACCATCAGCTTTATGCTTAGTCACAAAAACCCATTTGCTCCCGATAACATTTCTACCTTTTGGATTATCCACAAGTTCCCAAGTATTGTTTTTTATTAACGAATCATACTCAACTTGCATTGCCTTCTTCCAGTGTTCAGCATTCACAGTGTTCATTGCCTCTTTTACCGTTAATGGACTTTCCATGACTCTTACCTCATTCACTTGAAACAATTCTTCGGCTTTAAAAATCTTCTTTGGTCTGCCAGGTAAGCCATTTCTTTCTATGCATCGTCTTCCTCGCTTCCTTTTCATACCAGCACTGACTTCCTCTTAATCATTGTTGCCGCTGTCATACAATTCCTCCTCATCTGCGATTAAAATTCCATCTTTGATTGGTTATTATTTTCATTATTAAAATTTAAAAAATCATTTTTACATAAATCAAACGTAAAAATATCTGTGTAATTATAGTTAGATGTGCCATCTTCATTTATATCTTCATTATTACCAGCTACTCTACTTTGAAATGAATTTTCGAAAAAATTTACATCTCTAGAAATTACGATTTGTTGCTTTTCCATATTAAATAATCTATATCCTTTACTTCTATTTGAATATCCTACAAAAACCATTTTCGTTCCTTTGGGGGTTAATTTATTTCTAGCCGGTCGTTTGTCCAAAACAACAACATCGCAACCGAATGTCCTAAAATGTGATACCGCAGGTTTATAACCAAACCAACATTCATATGGCGTTTTTCCTTTAAGTACTTTCGATGGTGACTTGTTACGTATGTACGTAGCTGTATTAACCGCTTCAGCCCAAAATGAATAATGCAATTTCGATTCCGCTAACATACATCTAGCCTTCTCCATCAAAGTTCGATTTGCTCTTTCAGCTATTCCATTCTGTTAAGGTGTATAACAAGTAGTTAACTGATGCTTTATCCCATTTTCAAATAGAAAATTATCAAACTCCTTATTAGAATATTCTCTTCTATTGTCACTGCGTAAAGTTTTAATCCTTTTGCCGGTATCCATTTCTGCATTTCGCTTGAAATCCTTAAACGCATTAAAAACTTCAGATTTTTGTTTCACAAAATATGTCGTCATATACCTGGAGCAATAATCAACAAATGTGTCAAAATATAGTGACTGACCTCGAGATACATTCCTCATTGGTCCACATATAACCAAAACTTCCTTGCTAAAAACTTTATTGTATGTTTGAAACGACTTACGGCTTATCTTACATAATGCACATACAATTGAAATCCTTCGGCATTTTGATTGTATGTCCTCTAACCAATTGCTTACCAGACATTTCATTCTTATCATTTGCATTCAAATGTCCCAAACGTTTATGCCAAACAGCAAACTCTGAGTTCTTTACCCAACATAGCAAAGTCTTCCTTTCTGAAATTGGCAACAAAAATTCCCTTTGTTAAACTAGCGTCGAAAATCATTTTCTGTAGCTTGTCAAAAATTATTGCATGATTTTTGGAAAACTTTATACTTTTTCCGCGTTTGATTATCTTGCTTACAGATAACCCAGGTACGAAAAGCACGTTTAACAAAAAATGTATCTGTCTTTTGTTTTTACTTTTACTTTACCAATACCTTTTGCTATGATACTTTCCCCGGATGCCAAAATTATCCTTTGTTCCTAATCCTAAAAGTATTCAAATATATGTTTATTATTAGACATATGTGATGAAGCACCGATATCTAGAATCCGTTCTGATTCTTCATTTACATCACTATAAATACTCAAGGCATAACTTTTATTTTTATTTTTATTACGACAATTAGCCCTTATATGACCTTCCATGCCACAAGAAAAACATTTCTTATCCTTTTTATTTTTAATAATTTACCTTTGATTATTATCACTAGCTGCTAAAATCTGCTCACAATTTACGAAGTCCTTTTTACCTCCACCTCGTTGCTCTTCTTCTAAAATTTCAACTTTTAATTGATCCAGTTTCGGCAGTTCATCTCTTGTCTCAATTGCTATTGCAAATCCCTCCATATCCTCCGGCAAACTGCACAACAACAAGATACTAAGTATATCTTCAGGAACATTCACATCAATTTCCTTTAAATTGTCCACAATCGAGCAAAAACCATTCAGTAAAGTTGCATATTTCTTGTCTCCTTTGAACTGAAATTTTACTAGTTGCTTAAATAAATATACCTTTCTTCCAGGACCTTTGTCCTTATAAACTTTCTCTAAATTCTGCCACGCTTTCTTTGCGCTCTTGCAATATCTAATATAAATCAATTCAGAGGGTTTACGCATAGAGTAATGGTATCTAGAGCCTTTTGATCTGTTTTTTTTGCCATTTTTCCTTTTCAGCAACCGTTGCCCTAGGATTACATGTTAATTCAATTACGTCCCATAAGTCCTGCGTAATTAATAGCCCTTTCATCTGTATTGACCAGCTGGAAAATTTTTCACCATTTAATCTGTCAATACTTGCGATCGCCGCCATTCTTTTCGTTGATTGTAGTTAATTGACTCGAGAAAAAAAAATCGTTTTGCTGAATAATTATTTCACCAATCTATTGTCCTTGATCCTCGGTCGGAAAGCCCATAACCTTTGTTAGAAGGATACTTCCAATAAATCGCAAAGATAATTAATGTTGTTCGCAATACAAAGCTTTTATTTCAAGTGAAGAAATTGAAAATTTTCTGAGATATAAGTTATCAACTTCTCAATAGAAAACTATGGTCATTTCGACAAGATCAAAGTTTTAATGTAGTTGAGTTGTTTCAATAACATTTCTTACAAAAATGATCAACGGAATCATTCTTTTCTTAAACAAATCTTTGAAAAAAGTTAAAAAAACAGCATAAAAAATCTCATTATGATTCCCATGAAACATTTTTTGAATGTTTTATATACATTTTTTAAGCTTAGCAGAAATCGACGGCTATAACGTAAAGGATGTGTTTTCAGCAGTTTCCATTTGAAACATTTAATAATTTGATTTCAAATATACCTACAACAATAATTTGCAAATCGCACCGGTTTGAAATCATACGATTTGCAGAACATACCTGATATTATTATCATTGGCTCTAACGTCATTTGTTAGTTTTCAGCCGAGTGTAGCATGACAGCTAAGC